ATATATGAAAGTCAAATTATGGTGTTATTGAGAATGATTTCTTTCCTTATTTGACTATTTTACCTTGTTAAAAATGTTGGGGTTATAGTAGTAACGATAGTGGAGAGTGAAAAAAGATATGAAGAAAAAAGGGATTAAAAAATCGAGAGAGAGTAATTGAATTGGTAGAGATTGTCAGTCTGAATGGTTGTTCTAGGAAATTCTATCTTAATGATAAAGCATGATTTTTTAAGGTCATGATTCACACAACCTTTTAAGTTTGATTTATTCATCTTTGAGTATTAATCTTTTTGGGTGGGCACCCCCCAAACGTAGGTCTTCAATGGCCAAACTGGGTAAACAATTGTTGTATGTTATATTCTTATTGTCACCAATATATGCATTCGCAGTCCGATCGTCCAACAAAAAATGAGTCTGTGTTGAGGTTTCATTTTTTTATGTTGATTTTTTAAGTAACCTGTCATTGTTGCTAAGTGTTTGATTGATTTCAGGGCCAACACTTGAAATATGCCACTACTGCATCTTTTATATATACATATCACCTTCATCTCATATTTTTTATTTAGGAAAAAGACATTATTCGTATTGGCATTACATCATTCAACCTTCTGAATTTTCTACTATTGCATTGTGCATAACATCTCACGCGTGTTTAATGTGAAACCATTTTCATGCATTAATCTTGTAATTTATTTTTTGCAAATTTATCCTTAAATTGACCATTGTTTCCAAATTCCATGTATGTCTTCCGTTGGCCAAATAAATCCAAGGATTCTTCTTATTTTTGCTAACATCTATGAAAGTGTTGTCATAAAAGGTGTAGCCTATCTTAGCTACAATATTCTTTGAGTATATTTGAGTTTTTTTATGGTATTTTGCCCCATAATTTTCTTGTATATTTTTTCTTCGGTAGTCTCATGCTTAAAGTTATCTCTAGCCTCCTTGACATCGATGAATTCTCACCAAGCCATGGAGTCAAATGTAACGAGGTAAAATCGCATTAGGAGACTAGCTTGGGTGGATCTGAGTGAAAAAAGGTAATAGTACATGTGATGCTCAACAAGCCATGTCAACAACCATTTCCTTACCCATATTTTTTGGCTTCTCGCACTAGATGTTCATGTCGTAGGGCTTAACAGTTGTAACAACTACCATAGACTTTACTTTGTTCTTACTAGTGTTAACCTAGCCTTTTTCTTCATGGGGGATTTTTGTAGTGGATGTTCATCTGGCCGGACTTGCTGCCATCCTTGTTCAGGCCTTTCCTTTTCCTTGAAGGATTGATCTATTCCATTAGGTTGGCCTTATCATCCATCATCTTTGGCCTAGGGTCTGCCTTCCGATTGCCTTTATGGATTTGGAGCTAAATAGTAAAGTCTTCAAAAGTCATTGTCTTTTGTTTATGCTTTTGGTAAGTATTAAAGTCCTTTCATGAGTAAGGCATCTTATCGATAACTATTGTCACATTGAATGCATCAAAAGGAGTTACCCCTCAATTGCCTTTGGTTTCTTCTTAGCTTTGACAATGTTCAAATTTTGTATTAAACTTCATATGTTTCTCATCATTCTTTCCATTTTGGTCCATCATTGCATTGAGTGTTTTCTTTTGTGGGCATTTTCTTATGAATTGAGGACCACCACAAAAGAAGCATGCCTTTTTCTTAGTGATCAAATCACCATGCACCTTCTCTTTGTCCTTATCCTTAGGTGTGTAGATATTCAACTTCTAAGGTTTATCTTTTCCGTCTTTGTCCTTGATCTTCCTATTCGTCCTCGAAGTCACACCAAATCTTAATAAGCCTCTACAATTTCCTATGCATTGTCTGGCACATTGTCACTTTAGTTCTATTGTTGCCATCCTTGTGTCTCATACAAATATGTGACCAAGAATAACCAAAATAAAGTCCCGAGGTGACCAAAAGAATATCATAGACTGAAACGATGACCAGGAGAAAAAGACCAAGATGTAAAGGTTAGCAAAATTCTTGAGCGTATCAAAAAATTGCCAAGCCGATGGATACGATATTCTAAAATGAATGATCCGACCCGTGACACTTAGAAGCCACCAAAAGAATGGGGAAATTTATTCTTCTTTCACCTTTTCAATAAACCATGTCAAAGATGCTTTAGTGCTCGGAACTTCTTCGTGGCCTCACACTTGATATTCTCTCAATAGATTTTCATTTTATGCCTATTTTGAATCCTTCCCACAAGGAATGAATTCAACGTAACTTTTATGTAGTATCATTATGGCGCCACTGTCTACACCACAAGGATCTTAATCATTTAATTTGAATCAAAAAAATTGACTCAATTATGTATACAAGTTAACACGAGTCAACCCGAACCCGACACGATAATAAATGGGTCAACACGAACCCGATACGATAATAAACGGGTCGAGTTAAGATTGATTAATTTAATTCGTTTAAAGTATTCAATCCGACACGAACCTGACACGAATTGACCCATTGCCAGTTCTACACAAGGTTATAGTAATTAGTTAAGTACATAGTCACATTCTTTATATTAGTAATATCATATTCCAACTCAAGGCATCAACATATTATTAAGTATTAATAAAAACTTATCAAATTCTTTTGCAATGTGCTAATCTCCATACTTTGGTTGATTGGCTACTCGAATGTATGGTGCTCCCCATGCAACAACTCCCATTGGCACTACCAGCGGGCATACCGTCATTTCAACCCGTATGTCCTCTTTAAACTTGTCCCGTCATTATTCCATCAATGACTTCCTTCATGCCATAATTTATTTTCATTGTCGATCTTTTCTAACGATTCACTCAAAGACACCTATCCGCCATAGCATAATATTGCACGCTACTCAAGGCTCAATCCATCAAGACAATAACATACCTTCTTTTTACACACACACAATGTGCAATATTATGCTATGGCAGATAGGTGTCTTTGGGTGATTTGTTGGAGAAGATCGCTACTGAAAATAACTTAAGCATGGTATCTTTGGGTGAAACTGAAAAAGACACCATGCCTTAAGTTATTTTTAGTTTCACCTAAAGACACCATGCCTTTTATTTTTAGTATAGATCTTCTTGAACAACTCACCTAAAGACATCTATCCGCCATAGCATAATATTGCATTGCACGCTGCTTAAGGCTCTATCCTTCGAGACAACAACGTACCTTTTTTTCACACACTCACATAGCCAATTATACACCTCCCGATGTTTAAATTCTTAACCATTAATATGCTTAACTTAAGAACTTAGTTATGAGTTTAAGCATCGACGTTTTCATGTCTTATCTGTCACACATGATTTGTCTAGTGTAACTTATTTTATTGAGCCTACTTTGCAAGCTATTAAGTTCTGTTATAGATTTACCTAAAGCGCATCCAAAAAGTAGCGGCCGTAACTTCTCACATTTAAAAAAAAAAAAAAAAAAAAGAAAAAGTACAAAGAACCTTTATTTATTGGACTTTCTTTCATGATTTAGAATACGATAAATTTCCTTTGTATACAACCAAGTCTATAATGAAAGACCCAATTGATCCAATGGTCTAGATGTATCATGTATTCCCCAAAAAGCTTTAGTTATACAATTTTGTATGCTATTATAATATGTACATAGAAAGTTAAAAAAATATATTAATTGAAATCTATAAAAATCTCTAAACGAATCTCGAGGGTTTTTACGGACTCACCACCAAATACTTCTGTCTTTCAAGTTAACATATTACTTTTATTATTTTCATTAATTTCACTAAAAATATATATTACATTAGAAATAATTCATATATATGTATATATATCAAACTACTACTAAATTTAACAATATTATTCAATTTTTTTATACCTAGAAGTACAAAAATATAAAATTAACTTACACATTTTTATTGATTAATAAAATATTATCAAAATATATTACTGTAGAGCAATATATAAGTATGTTCAAAGATAAATATATAATATTATTTTATTCAATTGAATTACTTAATAACTTTAATTGATTAAAATTCAAATATAATTAAAATCCTGCGTAAAAATACACAAATAAAGGATTATTAATCTCATCCAAATAAGTTAAATTAAGTTCTCAATAATTTTTTACTAAAACCTACTAGCTTTTATTTAATCGAACATGGCACTATTGCTCCAATTAGCCTTTCAATTTTTTTAGTCTCCTATTTGACCTAATGCATTATTTTAAAATCATGACTGAAAATAGTTTATTTTCTTTTATTTTATTTTTTTACAAAATATTTAGATATACTATTTTTTTAATCCCGTATACGACCCTTTTTCATCATTTTCAAAACTTTAAATGAACCTTTTTTTTTCGCCATATCAGCAATGACAGGCCAACGCGGCGAATCCAATACGAGAACCATTTTAGCAAAATAAATTTAGTAGACTATTTTCAGATATTGTCCACTTCAAGTCCTAAAATAATAAAAACGATTGATAGATACTACGGGGCGGGACTAAAAAAAAATAATTTACCCTATAATCTATTAAAATAATATTATAATTTCAACCTAAAAGGAACTCCATCCACATGCAACTTCTAGAGTTCCAAACTCGGATAAAGTGTGGGAATATATTATCGTACCTGCTCCCCACTTTGTTCACCTGGACTTGGTCCCATGGGGATATAGCACCCCCATGCTGCTGCATATATATATATATATATATATATATCAATCCATCCAAACCAGCCCCGAATTGCATAGATTTCTTGTCTGCCCATCTCCTAAAGTCGTAGCCTCCAAAAATCTTAATCCAAGATATGTCCAGATAATGTATTGCATCTAAACAGATAGATCGATCTGAGATGCATAAAGTCCTTCCTGGATTACATTTAGCATAGTAGCACTCCAGACTAGTAATGTCGTGCCTGAGTTTCCTGTTTCCCACCGAACAAAACAAACAAACAAACAAACAAGCACAACCGGCATAACATGATGCATGTAGGAAATTAATGAATAACATGACGGAAGATTTTAACACCATTGCATTGCATTCCAATCCATTCCATTCCATTCCATTAAAGCATATGTTTGCAAATATATGAAACAAGCCAAGCCCGCCAGAGCACTTTGAAAAAGGGTATCCTAAACCATAACCATAACCATAACCAAAAACACATTAATGAAAAGTAGCGAGAAGACACTGACTGTCACTGTTGCAGTCGCTGTCACAGTCACAGTATGTTTCGTCTAATACAAAGCTAGATGGAAGGAATTCTCTGTAGCACCCGACGCTTCACTAACTCCCAACATTTATGCCTGCACATATATTATTTATAGTGGAAACAAACAATTAAACCCCATTGTGTCTGTATTTCTGTTATTTTATGTAACGAATGATTGTTTTTTAAGCAAGCACTTGCCTTGTTAGCAATGTTGTTAGAGAGCCAATCAAGCCCCTCGTACAGCCCCTCCCCAGAGGTAGCACAGGTGCTCTGGATGTACCTGAAAGGCCAATAAAAACGCTATTACCCATACAATCTCTTAAACAAACACCAACACTGCTTCTAGTCGGATGATTGATTTACCAGTGGCGCTGCCTGAGTGAGTGCAGTCCCAGCTTGTCGGTAATTTCAGCAGCATTCATTGCATTAGGGAGATCTTGCTTGTTCGCAAATACAAGTAATACTGCCTCTCTCAGCTCATCCTGCATCATATCAATACAATCCATTTTTCCCTCATTACTTAGTATTTGGTCAGAACTCAGAGCTTAGACAAAACAAACTATAGACAAGGTGTGGTAAGTGAATTTTTGTATAATTCACATATATTTCTCCTATTTACAGTTGGCACAGAATTCGGAATATGAGCCTTGCTGAATGCTCAAGATTTTCAGAGTATATTACATCAAGTGAGTACAAACATTAGAATCCGATCCAATGCAATGATGCAATGGATTTCATGGTACAAGTAATAGTTCACCTCCTACACACATACTTAATAGACAGTTAAGCTTAATAGATTATACAACTTGCGGGATTGCTTCTCAATAGAGATCTAAAGTAAACTAAAATATAAATATATAAACGTAACCTCCACTTAACCATAGCAACCTAAAAAAAATAGCCATTTTACAAAAGTTTATGGTCATCAGTGAGTATTTTATGTATTATTCACCTAGTTGCAGAAGTTATCTCAGTAGTATAAGTCAGATATAATTCAAACAAGTGAAAAAGAAGGAGTATAACCTCATTCAACATCCTATGCAATTCATCTCTCGCCTCCACAATACGGTCCCTATCATTGCTATCCACAACAAAGATGAGGCCCTGAGTGTTTTGGAAGTAATGCCTCCACAGTGGGCGGATCTGCAAGAGGAAAACTTATTAAACAGCAATTCCAAGGATCAGTGGCCAAACAGGAGGGAGGGGGGTCAAAAGGTATTTCCCAGCTTACCAGAACCAAAACCCTCAAAAGATAAAAGAAAAAGCTCCAATTTTATTTCGTTCAAAAGAAAATACAAAATTAATAAATTGTTGAACAAAACAAGTAACAAGCTGTCATAAACAAATAAAAAATAGCAACAAGCCCACCTTGTCCTGACCCCCGACATCCCAGACTGTGAAGCTAATGTTCTTGTACTCAACAGTCTCCACATTGAAACCTGAACCACAAATAATGAATACTCAAAAGCCAGCTCAATCAAAATACATGAGATAACAAAATACATTTCACCTGACTGACTCAAGAGGAGCGCAGTAACTAAAAGAAACAAGATTGATAAAGGAAATGATGGGGCATACCAATTGTAGGGATTGTGGTGACAATCTCTCCAAGCTTGAGCTTGTACAGGATGGTGGTCTTACCAGCAGCATCAAGACCAACCATCAGAATGCGCATCTCCTTCTTGGCAAAAAGCCGGCTAAAAAGCTTTGTGAATGTCAGCCCCATTTCTCGTTCGTGCTTTAGATCCCTATATGTAATCATGTAAACAATACAAAGACTGATAAGTTTCAAGTGTCATAGCTACAGGCAATGACCAGTATATCCAAACACCAGTCTAAGCAAAGATAATTTAGTAAATGCTCTCGTTTCCATTCATCATACCAGGATTTAGTGAAAAAGGTGATATGAAGTGGTCTATAGAAAGTAAAATAGTAAATAAAACGAACTAAAGCAAATCAACATGCCGTTAAATTCTAATAACACTCCACTCCATTGCTTGAAACCTCTTTGTATATAACATATTAGATCACCATTCTATATTATCTACACTTAATACCGACTCTGCAGTTGTACCACGATGTAGTTTCAATACTGACGAGCAAGCTGATACAGTCAATATTATTTCGATGCTAGAATACATATATCAACGGAGTCATACTTAAAGATATACATAAAAATATCATATAACACCTACAACAAAACTTCTCAAGACACAATTTTACAGAAAAGCAACAATTAAATGAAGCGCATTGTCGCCTATGAATCTCCGTAACAGAACATAATGCCCACAAATCACTTAAATATGCATAACAATCGCCGAATGCATAACATAACCGATCCCATCGTAAAACATTACCAAACAAATTCTAATAGGTTTACATTTCAGATCCTACTTAATGGATACAACATATTCCAGATCAGATCAAAACTAAAGCAGATATAAACACTGTCAATTCAACAAAAGATTAAACGAATAAAATCCAAACCTCCTGATCACCCCTAGACTTCGAACTAGAAAAAATAAAGAGCGAATCGAAAATTTTAACTAGATAGACAAACTAACAAATTCACTAAAAAGCACAAATCATGAAAATTAAACAATCTAAACCACAAAATTCTAGATCAGAACACCCAGCCAGAAACAATATCAAAGCAGCTTTCGTTCCCAGACAATCCACAAACGTTTGGATCTATGACAAACACAGCCGATCTAAGGAAACTACGTACCAGAGTAGGACGGATCTGGCGAAACGGTGAAGAACGCGCAGAGGGGCTGCCTCAGAACAACGCGACGCGAGAGAGATTATTTAATATATTTTTAATATTTTAAGAGTGGTGAAGATCGTCGGGCAGAGGCAATTTATATAGGAAGGCGCACCGTGTACTTTATTAAATGTCCATATTGCCCTTCGATGCTCTCAAAATAACGGCGGTTGCCCCTGAATCGATATGACAGTGCTTCCGACATCATCTGCCGTTGGATTTACTGCACCGCCTAGAAGTGAAGGAGATGCTGCCACGTCAATATTTATTACGTGTCCTCATGTGATTTTTTTAAAAAGTAAATAAAGAAAAAGAAATTAGTAGCGTGTTAAATGAGCCAAAAGCATCTCGAGCAACAGAAGTTTCAATTTATGTGTGTATGATTTCGAGGTTTTGTTTAGAGAGTACTCTCTCCCCATTTGATAATAGGTAAGGTAATATTCCTTGTCCACCTAGAAAATATATATATTTTTACTTTAAAACGTTCAATAATATTTTATTAAATATTTTATTTTTTCATAAATATTTTTACTTTACATCAGATCGTTATTTTTACACCAAAAAAACAAGGACAAAAATATCATTACACTATTTTTAATTATCAACTATAATTAAAATACTATTATTTCTTAAACACCGCGCCAAAAGTAATTATATACTGTATGAGTGGACGGAGAAAATATTTAATTAGTTAATAGTAATTAGTTATAATATTATTATATTATTTTTAATAATAATTAATAATATTTATAATTTTAAAGTAAATTTAATATATATAATTAAAAAAATTAAAATATATGTTTAAATATTTAAAAATTATATATCAATTATAAAATATATGCAATATAGATATTATTTTGTAGAAAATAAAACTTTCTATAATTCAAATAAATAAAAAAATATTTTTTTATTTATAATTAACATAAATCAATTTTATAAAAAATGTATTAGTTTTAAATATAGATAAATATATTTATTTTTTTTGAAGAGAGAGATAAAAATAAAGGAGTTTTGATTGGTTTATACTTTATTTACGATGTTGATGTTATATGGAGTAATGAATTAAGTTGATTTATATTTTTTAAATATGTTTTGATTTAATAATTTTTACCAAAAATAGAAAAATGTTAATTGTTACATAACATACAAAAATAAAAATAGTGTCAATTGTGGTGCAATGGAGTATTTGGTATTAAGAAATGAAAGTTGGAAAAATAAAATAAATTTTCTTTTCTGGTTAATTTGACTTAAAAATTTGAAAAAATAATCATTTTTATTTATTTCTTACATTTCAATTTTCTTCTTTATACTCAAGATAGGTGATCCATTTTTCGTTTTCAGTTTTATTTATTTTAATAAAATTTATTAATATTAAGTTTATTTAATAAATAAAAATTAATTTTATTAATTTTTTATTATTATACAGGTATATTCATTAAAAATATTACTTTTACTCTCTCGAAGTAAGTATCTATTTGTTTTTTATACGTAGTTTTAGAAATATTATTATTATATTGGGATATAATAGGAATAAAGTAGAAATGACTAAAATAACTTTATTAGTATGTGTGATATAAAGGTGATGACATTTATGTAATATATTGTAAGTTGTAAGGGTATTTGTAATGTTAGGTAAACAGTACAATTACTAAAAAAAAAAATGAAATGGATGCTTTGTTATGAGACGGACTAAAATGAAAAAATTGATATGTTGTTATGGGACGGAGGGAGTATTTTTTTAGTAAATAAATAATTTTATTTATATTTATAAATTCTCGAATTTTTTATAAAACTTGTTTATATTAACAATAAAAAAAATATATTATTTATTTATTTATATTACATAAAATATAATTCTAAAAAAAATGATTTTCATTTTATATATTTTATCCATCTGGCAAAAAAATATTTATATTTCTATTTTGATTTGTTCAATTAAAATATAAATATTTTATTAAATAGTTCATTATTTACAAATATTTTTAATATCATTACTTTTTTACTAAAAAAATAATGGCTAAGATTGTCTTTAAACTACCTTTAACTACTCAGTGTAATTAAAATATTACTTCATTTGTCTTTTGAAACTTTACATTTACCTTTTGCGTCATTGTACTTAATATTAAAAATATCATTGTATTTGTATAAGTTTGTATACAAATATCATTATATTTGTATTATAAGACATTAATAGAAGTATTTTTGTCTTGTTTACTTACATTATACTATGTTTTGATATAATACTTAGTATTCAAAGAGCGACACACAAAAAGTAGATGTAAACCTTTAAGGTGGATGGAGGAAGTTTATTTTTTAAGTTACGCGCCAAAAAATTAAATATGTACTTATTAGCCGGATTAAGGGGGTATATTTTATTTAGATATAATCATAAAAAATATTATACACATTTTAAAAAATTTAAAACATATATGCTAATTTATATTTTAAGGGTGTGTTTGTTTGGGGGTTTTGAATTTGGATTGAAATTTGAATAGTAAAAATTTTGAATGTGAATAGTTGTATAATGTGATATAAATAGATTTTGATGTAATATTTTGATTGTAAAATTGATTTTTAATAAAATATAAAAAATAAAATAGTTGTAAAATTATTTTTAATATAATATAAAAAATAAAAAAATAAGTATTTGATTTGATATTTTTTTGAGAAAAAAAATTGAATAAAAATAGTGAAGTTTCGGAAAAACCCCAAACAAACACAAATATTAACACTATCACTTATATAAAAATAATATCAATACTTACTATCATTAATTTAGTAATTTTTACTATATAAATAACAGTGTCCGGAACAAATGAGTAATATGTCCCGGACAGATGAAGTATAAAAATTAAAGAGAATTAATTTTTTGAAATTAAAAAATAAAAATAAAATACTATTTACTATCAAGGATTTTCATTTTTTTACCAAAATATTCTTTTCGATCATTTCTTCTCTCAATATTCTCCTCCATTTTTGTCATTGTTGTCGTCATCACACCAATTGGAGTGTGGTCTCCAAATTAATAGTAGAGTCTTATTACATATTATTTTTTTCTATTGATTAATGTATTGTTAGATTCTTAATTACTTTTAAATTTATTTTAAACAATTATACTTTCACTATTAAAAAAAAAAAAAAAAAAACATATTTGTAATAAAAATTAGTGTCTTTATTAGTGACGAAATTAAAGACCGAATTAGAGAAATGGTATTCTTGTACTAATTGGGCATGGAATTTAGGGATGAAATAAAACTCGTTCCTAATAGAGACGGAAAATAGGGGCATAAAAAAATTCGGCTTAATTAGAGACGTAAATTAATTATGTCGCATGTAGGAACAAAAATTAGAGATAAAATAGCATTATGTTACTAATTAGCAACATAATTTAGAAAAAAAATATACAAAATAACATAAAACTTCTATGTGATTTACCCCATGATTTGAAAATTTCATAAATCTACTATTATTTCTAAAATATTGTCAAAAAATCCGTCTTCGTTAATATTTAACAGAGATTGTAACTCACGCGTTCAAAATGCAATTTTTAAATGTACCATCCTCTCTCTCTCCTTTCTCTCATTCTTCATTTTAAATTTATCATTTCTCTTGTATTACATTGTATTCTCGCCGTTCCATTCTATTATTCCAATTCTTTTTTTTTTTGTTGTCCCACTCAATTATACCATTATCATAAACAGAAAAAATTAACCAAAAATTAATATCTTAATCTTTACTTAATTTAAAGTAATTGATTTTACATAATTTATTACAATAATTTATTCTCCACTTACCAATCCACCATTACACATCACCCATCACCACCACCAGACAATCTCATTTTTTCTAATATTTTCCTCTTCTTCTTCTTCGTCGCTGATTTTTTCCCAAATCTTAGAAAAAAAAAAAGTTCCAGATTATTGTGTTGTATCTAAAATCGACGTCAATGTGATATTCTATTTTTGTTCCTTTCACCGTGTTGGAAAATGTAGAATATATAAACACATGTAAAGTATTTTTCTGTATCTACCCTAATTGCAATGTTTTGCTTGTTTTGTAGCTGGAGAATGTAAAATCGAATACTAATCGAAGGTATTTAGTATTTTTTTCAAAGATAATATGGTATAAAGCTAGATTTGTGTTTTTCAAGTGTTTGTAACACGAATCAAAGTTATTTTTAGTAGACATGTCTTAAGTTGATGAATATTATTCTTTACATTGAAGTTAAAATTAGGTTTGTTTTTCATTCCTTTCATTGGTTATGTTTATGGATAACTTAAAGTGAGAAAAAATAGAAAAAAAAAAAAAAAACTTTGTAAATATGGATGTCTGTGTTGTTTGGAATCAAATTTAAGCTTGGTAACTTAATTCGTGTGGTTCTTCTACTTGGTATATATATATATATTTTTTTTTTTGTAGAAGTGATCTAAAGTTCTAGTTTAATCTTTTGATTTATATATTGGGTATGGCAATTGAAGTGTCAATGGGTGGTAAACAATTGATAAATAATTTGAGAATTTAATTCTTTTAAAATCGATCAATTTAATTTCTCCAACCTATTTAATTTTCTTTGTGAGTGTTTTGAATCACTATGCTCTCTGGTGTAATTGATACCAACATACTAAATTCAGTTCACGCCTTACACTCGAGTATTATTAACATTGTTTAGTTGTTGGTATTATGAAAAACTTATATTCGATGTAGTTGAAAATCTTACATAACGGATAATACGTTATCGATCGTAGAATCTCTTCTCGTTCTTTACTATCATTAAGGATCCAAAATACGCTAGATTGCAAGTTTTTCTCGTTGTCGCTTATTTAATTTTTCATCTTAAGTGGGTGAGTTTTATTACTTTTTTTTCTGTTTATTCTTAGCTTTGGTTGGTGATTTGCAATAATTCCTCAATTAAAATTTCAATTTGGTCCATGGCTTCCTCGGCCAATGAATGAGAGTGTTTGAATGTTCCTACGCCCCTAACCTCGCATGATGAAAATATAGATTCTTTATGTTACACATGTCCATAATGTAAGCTATTCGATATTATCCCGGATACGCCAAGATATGATGCAACCCGTTCAGTGGTAGAGGAGACGCCGGACATGG